CATGCATATGTAGGAATTGGTAATCATGCTTAGCAAAGCTTAGTATAGATTATTAATGATGTATTACAATCCATCCGGTCCCAATATCTTGATTATGAATATTAGACTATTATCAATCGAATTTAAATTTTTCATATATTAAATTTGTCTACCCGGGTCTGTTCAAAGTAAAAGTAACAATTTCAGATTTCTTTTTTAGTCCTGTCTTACACTCATGTGATTTAATTTTACGAGTATTATCAGATTGATCAGTTGATGTATTCCGTAACACTGAAAAAAAAAAATCTATTAATTAGTTATGGAGTAACGCTCGCCAAGAATAACTCGTAAATAAAGTTTGCCAAAGACTAGATTTCCATAGCTATTTTATATAGTAAAAGCGCCAGCTTGATTCTTATTGTAATTTATTTATTTTCTTTAATAAAACAATAATATGAAAATATTTTTAAAATTCATTTAGTTGGAGAGAAAATAATTTTTTTTTTTATTGCCAGTAAAATCAAGTCATGAGATATAGTAAATCATATGAACCGTAATGCCCACGGAGATAATAAAAAATTCTTTGCTTACAGAAAGAAAAGTTGGTAGGAAGAATGCTTTTCATGGCTAAGGTATGTATTTAATCTTTGCTTTAAAATTCATAAATAGTATTGATTGATTCAATTGTGGAAGTTGAAGTTGGTCATCATAACAAAATTTTTTAAAAAAATATTTCCTTTAAACACATCAATGCTAAGTCGGATCCAATTCCATATGTGTTTAAGATGAACTCGTATATTTTGGATGAGAAGATAAGGGATTTCCTTCTTGTCCTAAATTCTAAATCATCTACATTTTCGTTTTTAAAACGCTGTTCAACAATTTACTTTACGATTAATTCATGCTGCTCAGATCGTGACTTTAGAAAAATTAAGATAATTAATTTTTTATGACACCTTTTGTGCTCAAATGCCTCCTGAAAGAGCCCGAAAACAAAAGAGAATGTAGTGTCTCCGGTTCTGATTGTAGTAAATGCATTCCAAATTATTTCTCCAATGTCGTCTAATCTATGTTCAAACATTTGAAGGATGTTCATAACGATATTGTTGCTTAATTTATAAGCTCGTTAAGAAGCATTACTACTTTTCAACGCGGACAATCCATCCAACGTTGGAAAAAGAATGAGCATTGCCCCTTCTAATTAATATCGCTACAAATATCTACGTATCCTATCTTCTTCCACAGTTCCGTTAATTGCGGTTTAAGAAGTATAGCTCTCGCCATATAGACGTTAAGTTTCTGTCCATCCTTAGCATCTTTAGAGACGGTAGACCACGCTTTGCAGCTTAAAGCCAAGTTTAATGGATAATAGAAAATATTGATGATATCGAGGTATAAAATGTTGGTATTTTTTATATATATAAGGCTCGACATCTTTATGTTTTAATTATTTAATAACTGATAAGAAATAAAAATTTTCGACCATTTATATATATATGTGTGAAAAAAGGGGGACATTGATGAATGAGTATTTTTTTTTTTTTTCTTTTGTAGTACATTACACATTTCCTATTAAATTCGATAAAAAAAAAAATTTCACATTCTTTCAAACTCTCCTTTTTTTGGTTAACTTTATTTATTTTAACGAGTTTGCGGAGTAACTCCGAATAGTAAGCCTTAATTTTTTTTTTACATGTATACTTTATCGGTTTTCATTGATATGCCCGTTTTACGTTTTACTGCATTGCATCCATTCAAAAAGAAGTTACACTGCGCAGCCGTTCTGTTATCTTGTGTAATTTTTTTATTCATAGTTTAACGTTGATATTTTTTTTAAAAAGATAACTCACATTTCAAGTCGACCATTTGTCGTTTGTCGGAAAATTTTTTGAGTACGATTGGGACGCGTGACTTTTACTTTGTAATAACTTCTTTTAAAAAATCAAATAAATCAAAATAATAAAAAAATAAAAAAAAGTGACCCTTCGCTTTGAACGTTATTTTATTCGGTTTGTAAGTTATAAATTCTTATCTGAAATGATCAATACAATAAAAAGGTTGTTTAAGTTCACTCCCTTAAAAACTTTGTATCATAAGGTGATACATATTATTTCTTTGACTCTATTATCGTTATCTTATTGTTTTAATTACAATAATTATTATTGATCATTCTGCATTTAGTAAGATCAGATATTCCTTTCATTTCTTTCCTTTTTTGTTATATTAAAAAAAAATTGTTCTATTAACTGATCTCCGGTTAGTCATCGTTAAACTTTTTTTTTTTTTTTTAAAAAAAAAATCACTTTAAGATTATTGTATGCATTGCAATAAATTTTCCAAACATATGTTTTAATTTTCCAATTAAATAATGCAACTTTATTATCAAAAAACTGTATCCGATTAGCACTTTTATTTTTACGAAAATGGTTTTATTCATTGTTTTTTTAAAAAAAAAAAAAATAGATCGCATTTCGAGCCGCCCATTGGTCGTTTGTCGGAAAATTTTTCATTGGTTCGGTTTTACTACCTTTAAAGACCTCCCTTTGAATGTTATTTTATTTGATTTATATTGGATTAGGTAAGTATTAAATTTAATTTCAAGTCGATAACAGGTTGTTTAAGTTCATTTCCTTAAAAATTTTTGGAAAATTTTCTTTGTATCATTATTTTCTTTGGCTCTTTTAATTATTGAAGTATATGAGCATTCGTTTTTACTTGATTTATATACGGTTAATATTAAAAAAACAATGTCATTTACAATATTTCTTTCATTGCTTCCTTTTTTGTTATATCGTTTAGTGAACAAATTAATTATTTACCTAACATTTAAAAGTTAATTATTATTCTATTTGAACTTTAGGCGTAAAAAAAAACAAATATGCAATTTATCGTGGGCGTTCGTCGATGGTTGAACCAACTATCTTTTTTTTTTTTTATTGACAAATGAAGATTTATCGATACGATTGGAACTTTTATACCTAATTTTTAAATATAACAAAACAAACATCTTCACATGTTAGACATAATTCATTATAACATGAAGCCAATTTTCATAAATTTTGTACTATAACAAAATGATAAATTGGTAATAAAAGTCTTTATTACTTTTCTAATATTATTAGTTAAGCTTTCCTTGTCGGCATCACTAGATTCCGATTTTTTTGGTTTACCTTAAATAAAAAAAAGGTTATAAATAAAACATTTTTTTTGATAAAAAAAAAAAAGTTAAACAAAATTTTTATTATTGAAACATCAAACAACTTGAATTTTTCTTATCTAAAGTTAGAAGTAATATGAATCCAATAAGTTCACAAATTCAAGCTTCTGATACAGAGAATTCTTTACATTCAATCATTCCTACTTGTTATGCGGATAACAACACCTTTACCGTTTCGTCTCAATCAAACCTTGAACAAGTAACCGAAAGTTCATTAAACGAGAACAATTGTCACATTACTCAATGTTCCTTTAACACCAGTACGCCCATACAAACTAATCCTTTTGGAAATCCTCAATTTCAAATCCAACCAGTTTATTCTAAAACTTTTATTTATCGACCACCGAATGATTATTATCAGTATCAGGTTAATTGTGAAAAAATCTCTAATGAACTCGTTTTACAATTATTAAATAATCGTAAAGAAAATGTGATGCAATTAAAAGAAAATGAATATGCTTTCTTTTATCAACAGCGAGGTAGTAATCAATTTTATCAAATATCCTGCGAAATCATTCCTCCTTCTGTTATTAATTATTGGTTGAATAGAAACATTCATTGCATGGAAATTGAGCAGGATATGGTACAAGAAAAGTTTGCATTTACATCGGATCAAGCAAAACATCTCGAATTTCACTTATCACGATATTTAAATAATCTTTTCTTAAACTAAATTACATGTTTAAATTATTTAAATTGAAGTTTGCTATTATTACCACTGGTGGTCAGCACCAGTGTCGCATGATCGTGACTTAGAAGCACTTTTTTCTATGTTACTATTATTTGTTATTATAAACTGCATGTAAGGTCATGCAACTTCGATTTTTCGGTTCACGTAACATTGAAATTTTAAAATCGACCCGGAGACCCGGAGTTTATTAATGAT